TTAAAGAAAATATTGTTTAATTAAAAATCTTAATGGCTTAGGCATGAAAACATGGCAACACAACGAATGCTGAGGATATTAAAAAGACAATAAATAAAATCATATTTACAACAACAAAGCATGAGGACGACTTTTAGTAGGCAAGTTGAGAAGGCGAGTGACCGTTATTAATATATCACAAATACATCATTAAAGACCAGCTGAGACATCAGTGAGGGAGTGTGTGTGTGTGTGTGTGTGTGTGTGTTGGGGGCATACAGTACTTATTGTATTTTCAATAGCAAGGAGACGGCCCTGAATTGATTCAGATTTTTATTTTCAATTTATTTATCAAATTAAAATCTGCAGTCTTAAAGATATCTAAACTGAGGGCGGGAGATACGGCAATATTTTTCAATTATACCAATATTTTTGTATTGTTAAAAGATGATAATATACCATCATATGAATAATATTAAGACATGTTTTGATTTATAAAAGGTAAATGCATTATTATTATTATTACAGCCAATTTCTATTTAATATGCCTTGTTACTGACAATAACAAGTGATGTAAACAATGCAAATATTACAGCACTTAATTTAGTATTTTAATTTATTAATAACATCCTATAAATGCAAAGATTCGTTTTCTAAATATTAAATTTTTTGCCACATTATCTTCATATCCCCCCACCCTTAGGAGGTATCATCGTTTAATCCTGCAGTACGGTCGCATATAGCATTCACTGTATAAACATATGACGGTGTTTATGAGAAGGAGTAGATAGTACCTCATAATTAGAAGATAGTTCAATCATAAAAGCATTTTTTTTATTTTACTTTAAAAAGCATTTGTAAATCGCGCATTAGTTGTCCACTAGGGGGCGCTAACATGCATTTTTTTTCTTTTACGTCACAATGCCCGTAACTATTACATTTGTCTCAGTCTGTAGGGACTGTGTTTGATGCAGTTATACTTTCGCTGTGTGCTGTACTCTGTGTACAAAATAAAGAGGGTTTGATATTTATTTTGACTTTTTAAAATAAATCTAGTTTTAATGTGGCTCTTATTTATATATATATATATATTTCCTTTGATGCTTTGCCTGCAAACTCCAGCTCCTTCAAAGTGTATATCTGCAGGAATAAAGTAAAAAGTAATAACGGAGAAAGAGAAAAGTGTGTATATTTAATTTAAGCAATAAATGTGTCGTGTTTTGGTTTGTCGACAGAAGGCACATTTACACGTTACTGCAGAAATCCAAAGTGACGATTTAAGGGGATTTGAGGGGATAAAAGGGAGGAAATTGCACTCAATGTTAGACGGGACACTTCCTGTTTCTAAACGCGAAATTGGAAATGAGACGCTCGTTATTGGTCCACTGAAAAAACTGAAAACCTGAGAAAAATACACAAAATATTCAGTTTGACTTCGTGTGAAGTACATTTACTCAAGTTGAGTTTTTAAGTTCACATGTGACATACTTGTACTTGTGTATTTTCTTTACTCCCATTTCTCTACAATTACATTAAACTGGCCAACAGTTCATAAACAATCGAGGGATGATTAAAATGGCATCTTTTAAAAATCACTGAATTTTCCATCCATTAAAAAAAAAATGTATTTAAAGTTTTTGGATGTTTTTTTAAATTTATTTTTATGATTTTTCACAATTGGGTACTTTAATACTTTACCTACATTTTGAGTATACTAACCTTTACTTCAGTAAGATTTTCAATGCAAGACTTATACTTATATCATATTTAATAAACTCTCAAAATCGGCAGGAGAGCTATAATTAACATTAGCCAATAGCTGCTAGCCAATAGCTGCTAGCCGTTAGCAGCGTGAACAAACTTGAATTAATGAAGTTGTTTTACAAGATGTTTTCACAGTTTAATAAATAGCTATCACAGGGGACCTGTGTTACTTTAATAAAGGAGTGTATAATGAAGAACATGACATTTAAAGCTTATGTCTTTTTACCATTGTATTGTTAGCCGTTAGCTGTTGTCAGACGGAAGCTAAATGATGGAGCTAACAGCTAACAAACTCGAATTAATAAAGTAGTTTTGAAGGAGATGTTTTCATAGAAATATTTAATAGATATCAGAGAAGGGGACCTGTTTAACTTCCTAACAATGAGTGTAGAATGAAGTACATTAAATTTAATGTTTTGTTTTTTAGCTTAGCTGCTAGCTGTTAACAGCTTGAACACAAGTTGTTTTTAAGATGTATTCACAGTCATATAAAATGGATATTGGAGAAGGAACCTGTTTACATTCCTAACAAAAAAGTATGTAAACTGTACTAAAGGAGTGTTTAATGCAGTTTTATTGGATATATTTAATATTTTGGTGTTTTTAGCCGTTAACTCCCAATGGCTAAATAACAAAGATAACAAACCGTTTTACCGTGGCGTCGAGAGGATTGTGGAATTTCCTTTGTATCAGCGAGTAACAAGAAGCGGGCAAATCTAATCTTAGGAATGTTTTCGTCATTAGCTCGTGCTCGTTCATTATATCATGTGTCCTTTAGCACATGTTCCTCTCTTTACATTCAAACCTAGCTGTGAAGCAGTACCTGCGTCCACATGAAGACCTTCTGCTTTTACACTTTAATGTAAATCCCTTCAACCTGATTCCTCAGCTGGGTACAAATGTGACGCGGAGCCAAAAAAATCCCATGAAGACGTGAGAGGAGATCCAGCAGCACATGTCAAAGTCCTTTTTCTGCTTATTAGTAGAAACCAGAAGCTTTAAATGACGAGTTAAATGAGGAAATGAACTTCCAGCCATTGTTAGTACTAAACACAGCACAACAAGTTACTTAAACATCTGTTATTTCATTAGAGATCCATCATCGAGAGGAAATATGGAGACATGAAGCCCTGCGATTCTGCACATTCATCAGCATACAAACACCACTTGTTTTCTCGCCGCCGCTACATTATTCGTACGCCGCTAAGAAGCATTTTTTTTTTTTTTTAAAGCACCAAACTGAACGGCAGTGGAATTCAGACACGAATTTCCCTCTACAGGAAACACGAACGGGGTCAAACATCGGCTTAAGAACGGTAAAGGCTTCAGGCGTGCTGCGTTCAGGTCATATCGAGAGTACGGTGGCCCTGAAGGTCAAAACGCAACGAAAACACAGTTCAAATGTTGGTTGTGTTTTTTGAAATGTTTTAGCTATTTGTCAAATGGTTTTGTTAATTGTTGTCAGGGTTTTCTTTAACTGTAAAGGCTTCACGTGTGCTGCGTTCAGGTCATATCCGACTGTACGGTGGCCCTGAAGGTCAAAACAAGACATTTCCCCAAAAACCTGACATTATTTTTGTGTTTGGGGAAATGCTTTTGTAAACGGTTGTGAGGTTTACTTAAGTCTTTTTCCTTTATGTTACATTTTGCTGTGTTTTGACCTTCCGGGCCACCATAGGCTTCTCTGTCAAAGTTTTTTGCCAACATACAAACGGTAGCTTAAAAACAAAACCCCTCAATTTTCAAGTTGCAACAACGAGATAACGATGAAGCATCAAGGACGAACACTTGGCATCGGTTCAACAAACTCATATATTTTCACAATAAAACTCAGATGATATCTCTCCTGAACGCAGCATTTCCGTTTGGCCTTGAGTGGCCCTGCAGGAAAAGTGCTCGGTAAATGCTTTTTCCGTGATAATGGCACAGAGTGGAGAGACACAGCAGGTGAGGAAGAGGAAGAGGAAGAGGAGTGACTATGTGGCGATGTGAGCAGACGATGGGATGGAAACAAACTCCCGCAGGATGTTTTTGGCCGTCTCCAGGTTGTTTTGCGCGATCATCAGCGCTTTATGGATGTCCTGTAAGGAGTATCCCTGCGACACGAGGCACTCGATCTCTCCGTTCAGGGACTGGTTCCCCGGGTGAGTGGTGGGAGGAGGGAGAGGAAGAGGGAGAGGAAGAGGAAGAGGGAGAGCAATAGGAGGAGGGGGAGTAGGGGAAGAAGAGGTGGAAGAAGAGGTTGAAGGGAGTTCTGGTAACGGAGCGGGTAATTCACGGTTTGCGGGACGAGGTCTTCGGTCGGAGTTTGCTCGTCGAGGGAGAGGTTTGGGGGGGCGTTCAGGCTCCACTGAAAACATACCTGGAAAACAAAGATACAAGTCAGAAAATATTGTGATGCGTTCAAGTACCTGATATTATGCTGTAAGGGTTGTAAATCCACTAGAGAGTGAGAGACTGTTATCGTCCAACTACGGCTGTCAGACTGAGCGGAGATAAGCTGAATAAGTGCAGGGAGCAAAAGCTTTCATTGATTTACTGAGGGAATAAATCAAGTGAGAAGTCGGGGAACTCTCTCCTAGACTTGGAGCAGATCCTTTGCAGATCCATGCTCAATACTGTGGGCAATCCCCACAGGAGCAATTTGGGGTGAAGTCTCTCAGGGACACAACGACATGCTGACTGCAGTGGGGTTTGAACCTGTGCTCCCCTGATCCCAACACCAACGCACTAGCCCACTGCGCCACACGCCTCCCCCATATCTGCCCAAAAAACCACTACAAGAAAATAAAATGCACGATTCTCATGGCCTGTTCAATTGCTAGAAAAGCAGTTACGTACTGGCTTCGACGGCGCTGTCGATGCTGAGCGTGCTGAAGGACGCTGATGGACCCCCGATGTCTGACAGCGTCCTGCGGGTGGGGGCGGGGGGGAGGATGGGTCTCGGACAGTCGTACTCGTAGATCTCCTCCTCAGCCGAGTCCTCCTTCTTCTCCTGAGGAACCACCGCTGGAAGGGGAGGGGGCTCTGGAGAAGAAAAACACTTCAATCAATACGCACGTATAAATTAAGTCAATATAATATACACGTTCACATCTGGTACAGGGCGGGGCTGGGTGAACGTGTCGGCCATCAGTCACTTGTACATTATGTGTGAATAATGTTGTTTGTTGTTTTAATATTTGAATTCAACTTTTTACATTTGATTGTATTTCCTAAAGTGTATTTGAACACCTGAAAAAGTGTTTAGAAATGGTATGTTCTTATCATATTATTATTATTATTGTACAGTGTTGTTGTTTTTAAGAGATTTTTGTCAATTTTTGCTTATTTGAAAAGTTCTGTATTTGCTGAGACCTGTAATTACTGTCATACAAAACTTCACATTCCCTCTTGTTTTCTCTACATTATGCCAAAAGAACCAAGTTAAAGTGACACCTGCTTGAGTCAATACACAATTTAAAGTAAACATAATACACAACTTGTAAAGTGTTGTTGTTTTTAAGTGATTTTGTTGTTTTATTTAGCTTGTTTGAAATGTTCTGTAGATGCTGATACCGAACCTTTAACACATTCTCCCAAAAGAACAAAGTTAAAGTGACACCTGCTCGATGTGAGCATGTGTGATCAGGACATTTAAATAATTCCCCTAAATAATAAAGGAAATAGAGTATAGTTAGGATAATTACCGGGGTCCGAGGCCTCAGAGGAAGCAGCCTGGATGTTAAACATGGACTCGTAGACTTGAGGATCCTCAGAGTCGCTGTCGACCAACTCACTGAAAACACAAAGGAAACATCACTTAGACTTCTCTCAGGATTGTCAATGTAATACCCAGCTTCATTTTTTTCCTTGTACGCCATGTAAAGGTTTCAGGTACCTACTTACTGTATATTGTGTATGTCTTTGCTTTATTGTAACTAAAAGAAAAATTCTAAATAAAGTATTAAAAATAAATAAAAAAGAGACGTAATAATTAATATTCTAATGACTGCTCTTAACATACATCTAGTCTTTAAAAAAGGTAGAAATATATTTATATATTTTGTTACTGTAAATTTGTATTTCAACATGTATATTTTCTAGGGCTGTCAAGTTAATGCAAATTTTTTTTTAACGCCACTAATTATGTTAACGTGCGATTAACGCATGTGTATTTGTCCCCGGCCCGCCCCATAGTTTCAGAGCCCAAAGGCTTGACGTTGTTGTTGTTGTTGTTAGTTGGATGGTGGGATATTCTAGCGAGAGATATGGATACAAGAAAGGTGTTTTTAACAGCAAGCCAAGCCCACAGCTGATGCTCAGCCCCGCTCCTGCCGCTCGCTTGCGGCAGACCACGCTTGAACATTTGCCAGGGAGACGTCTGGACACGGCGTCTACGAGCAGCAAGCTTTCAACAGCGATAGCTAAATGGGTGGCGGTGGCTACAGCTTGCAGGACAATTAACATGGTGGAGGACGAGGGACTGTTTTAGATCATTCGGATCGCATCCAACGTGTCGACTCACATTATTTTGACCCTAGGTGGGAACTTCAGTCTCATGCTTTGACTGTTATGAAGACAGAAGAACAACTGGAAACAGGCTCGTCTGTTGGAGCAACTGGCTCAGTGCACAGAAGTACAGGGTTGGGAGAGAGTGAAGAGAGAGAGGTTCCAGGTTGTTGTATTGAGAATAAACAAACATTTGCATAAAGCATGTTTGTCCACTCATATGTTGATAAGAGTATTCAAAACTTGGAAAATATTCCTCTCAGGTGCATTTAGAACAGATACAAAATGTGCGATTAATTTGGGACTAATCACGATTAACTATGGACATCATGCGATTAATAGCGATTACATATTTGAATCGACTGACAGCTCTAATATTTTCTACTTGTTTAATGCCATTTTATTTATATTTTTTGAGATGTTGACATTTTTGATTGTTTATTTCTAATCTTTGAATTTCTCTAATGTCCAATGCCGTGCTGCTGCTATGCAAAGATATGCATACATTGGGATCAATAAAGTACTTCTTATCGAAGTAAAGTCCTGTGGTTATAACATTTCTTTCATTGGAAACCGCTCAACACAAGTCTGAATTTATTACCTTTTTATGAGAAAAGGACATTTTCAGCACTTCTTAAACAGTACAAATGTATTGAATAAACCCATTTGCATGTAGTATAAAGGACAAACAAACCTGAGGCTCCAGAGCCCCCTGCTGGACAGATTCAATACTGTTCCACATACATTACTGCTCAATTAAATCTCTTTATCAGTTGTGAGTAAAAACAGCTCAAATGTCAGCTCTGCTCTGAGGGAATTCAAATCTGGCATCTCTTCTCTTTGGAGTTTGTTGTGCATCGTTCTTGTTAGATAAAGACTAATATAAGCTCGGGTCAGAAGAATTTTATTGCCATTTCTACATTGTAGCTTATGTGCATATCACAATAAAAGCTTTTAAATGGAATATAATGAAATGTGCTAAATGTTATTTAAATGGTAAGTGTCCTGCAGCAGTGAGGTTGGTCAAACACTGTTTTAGTTCTGAAGTATTTCTACAGCAAGGCTTTTAATAACTATGTTTTTTAACATTTCAGGACATATTTGATCACCGCCTTCCCTCCAGTTTACCTGACGTCGTTGTGGTTGTTGTTGTTGACGGGTGGGGGGGGCACCAGGGAGCCGGAGAGGACCCACGCGGCCCCGCAGACAGGCAGCGAGGTGGGGCTCATGTACTCGTTCTCCTCCTCGTCAGACGGGGGCCTCTCAGCGCTCGCCATCGCAGACAGAGACCTGTTTTCATACAGGAAACACAAAGCATGATGGGATTTGTAGTTGTTGGAGTGGTCTAGTTCCTGATAAGACATTAAAGGTCTCCTATCATGCTAAATGCACTTTCTGATGTCTTCTCTACATCAATATGTGTCCCCGGTGTCAGGAGACTCACAAAGTGTCAGGAAACAAAAGCCTCTCTCTTTCCCTCCGTACCCACATCTCTAAAAACAGGGGAACAACGGAGCTGATCCAGATTTGCTGCGTCATGACGACATTACTAAAATGTGGTCGGGCTTTACACCCACGGGCCAATCAGAAACATTGCACAACGTTTTATATGTAATATAGTCTGTGTTTACATTAGCAAGCATCGCTAACACTCAGAGCTAACTTGTACTGGAGAGAGCAACGTGTGAAGAAGCAGGAAATAAAAAAGGGACTCACGAGAGAAAAAGCATTTGAGCTCCATACTGTTTCAGAAATAATCCTTGATGTGGTTTGGAACATAATATAACGTTTATTTTTCAAGATACAGACCCAGAATCAGCACTTTAGTAACAGGGCTGAAACAGAGGGATATGAGGCTTGGCTAGAATTGGTGATCCGTTTGGTATTTTGAGCAAAACACTTCAACGACATGTTTTTTATACATTTCTATACATCTGAGCCGATGCTATTGTCTAAAAACAGTATAATAGGAGCTCTTCACCTCCCCCTCCTCTCTTACCTGGCAGCGAGGCAGTAAACGGCGTTGGTGGCGGCCTGAGGTTTGATGGCGTCTCCGTTGGGGGGGGAGGGGGAGACAGAGGAGGTGGTGGGCAGGACCTTGGTTGCCGGGCGGGGAACCATGTAGTTTGAGGCCCATGCTGATTGGTCGGGGGTCGAGGGGAGGGGCCTCCTCTGCAGCCGGCAGTCCTGACCAATCAGAGAGGGGGAGGGACGCTCAGGTGGGGGAGGGGGGGGCAGCTCTCTAAGGGCAGGGGGAAGGGGGAGGGGCTTATCTCTGTGAGTTACTGAGATCTGGAAATATGAGAGGAGAAGGAATAAATAAAGACTATTAATATAGTATAATACAAATAAATGTGTTAAATAACCACTTCCTGTCCCCTGGTGTAGAAGTCAATGGTTTTCTGAATGTGTTTTTGGTGGTTAGCCTGAAATAAGGTCTGTGGTGATGGATGAGAGATAGTTGCATTGTGCTAATAAGCTAATGTCTAGGACACACACACACACACACACACACACACACACACACACACACACACACACACACACACACAGTTTATAATGGTGAATACATTAACACAGTAAGAGGAAGTAAGTGGTAAAAATAAAAAGGAGCGAATAAATAACTTTTTTTCAAACGCCTTAAAAGTCTATTATTAAAACTAAAATGTAAAATGGCAAATAAAACACGTGCAGTATATCTGAATTGAACAGAACAAGATCAATTCATGTGCATTCATTCAACCTATTCAATGTGCATTCTTCACATCAGTTTGGCATTAATACTTACACTGTATATTCAAAGCAATAATCTATTCTTCAGTATTAATATCATTTAAAATAGTATTACAGACTTCTGTATATATTGCAATATATACATAATTTAATATATCACTTTAACTTCTCTGATTATGTTTTTCTTTTATGTTTGAAATAGAGCAACGTTTTTTTGACTCTGCAACATAATACAATGTTTATTAAATATAATACACTCTTTTACGCTATGATATGGCTTAATGTGTGTATAAGTAGTCAGATAAATATACAATTACAAGCTTAATGATGTTCAGGGAATATCATTTTCAGATCACAAACAACAGGACCTGGGTGGTAGATTTTAATTTAATGCTACGTGGCTAATTCACTATACATGACCCCACTTAAGTAATGATTAAGGGACATTATAGAACTCCAATTTAAGGGGTTTTATCAGAATCAGGTTTAAGTAAGCTTGGTGGAAACAGTAAGAGGAAGTAGGAGGTAAGAAAAGCAGTGAATATTTGCATTACTCTGCATTAATTACAACGATTAAACGTGCATTCCTTACGTCACTTTGGCGTTATTTAATTAGATGAGTCTGATCAGCAGTGGTGGATTTTAACCAAGTCGTTTTTAATGTATTTAATTTCTCTTCTACATGTACCCGGCAGCTTTAGACAACATGTGTTTGCTCATACAGACGATAAAGAACAAGGAAGTTAACTTTGTTTCTGCTGCAAAACAACAGATAACTGAGTGACCTTACACCCGTTTTCACTTCCATGTTTTTTATAACATGTTTGAATTAAACTAAGCATATATTTACTCAGTGTATTCAACAAGTATCTGACAGCTGGGGTTACTTTACATATTAACATTTCTGTACCGTTTATATTAATTTATAATTTATGTTATATGTAATATTTAGATTGACCTGCACTTGCTGCTTTTACAGTGAACACCTTGGCTGCATGTTGGGATACTCTCTGTGTTTGTCCATAATAATGATGAAGACGAAGTGTCTGTTTTCTGCCTCAGAACAGCTCATCCTGTCACTCATTCCCACCATGTTTAGGGTTTATTGTAGCATTATTTGTGGTGCCTTGTTCATGAGTGAGTTGTAAGTGTGGTATTTCTAGTTTTACCTAAGGAGACCTGAAGACTGTGCATTTGTCCATCCATAATAATGATAAAAACATTATCACCTCCATGTTTAGTGTTTTTTACATATATTCCCATTACCTTATCCACGAGTATCCAGCCCTTCTAACATTATATTCCCAGTACCTTTATATTCCCAGTACCTGAAAATAAAAAAGATAAGATAAGAAGTACTTTATTGATCCATAAATCCATGATGTTCTGATCCATGAGTTTCCATCACCTCTAACATTATATTCCCAGTATTCCCAGTACGTTATCCACTAGTTTCCAACATTATATTCCCAGTATCAGCATGATAGGTCCACTTTAACCCTGAATTTCCATCACCTCCAACATAATATATTCACAGTATTGCCAGTATCTTAACCCTGAGTTGCCAGGATTTTTAACATCATATACCCAGTATTCCCTGTACCTTAACCATTAGTTTCCAGCAGTTTAAACATTATATATTCCCAGTACCTTATAGATACATTTCCATCACCTCTCACATGATATATTCCCAGTACCTTATCCATGAGTTTCCAGCACTTCTCCACCATCTTCTTCTCCACCACTGCGGGCTGTTGCAGAGGCTGCTGCGGCTGAAAAGCGTCCTTCATCAGCCCGATAAATCCGGCTCCTCTGCGGGGGTTTCCGGCCATTTCCCCCGTCGATGAGGCCTCAAAACCGGGGAGAATAAACCTGACACGTCGCTAAACAAGAACCAGGGCTGCTTCTCCCTCGCTAACACGTCATAATATCTGGCAGTTTGAACAAGCTAACATGCTAGCTAACATGCTACATCTGTAGGAGAAAAAAAAAAAGAAGAAGCCTCTTGTTTAGTTTCCTGTCGCGAAATAAAGGGTTTAATTCATCCTCCCTGTGGGGGAGAATCTTCTGCCGGGGAAGAGACACCTCCTCCGGGGAAGAGACGCTTATAATCCCCCGAGAAATGAGCCCGGCTTATAATAAAACTCCGGTTGTTAATAACGCCTCTCGATCAACAAACAGGTTGAGCAGCAGCCAACGGACCCGGATATCCGGAAAAGGCCTTCAACATAAAAGAGTCGCAAACAAGGTTTATTGCCAAAGTAGGTTTACATATAGGACCCTTAGAAGGTTCCTCATTTCTCTAAACGCCTGCTGCTTCCCCTCCTCTCTCCTCGGTTCCCCTCCTCGACTCCTCCGCTCGACTCCTCCGCTCGCATCTCCTGTGGGCGGGACTAAGACACAAGGATAGGAGTCGAGGAGGGGAATGAGAGAAAAGAGAAACCTTCTTAGTGTATAAAATATGGTGCATATATAAACATATTTAAAGAAGATAGATGGTAAGACAAGGAGCATCAAATTCAACTATTCAAGTGATTAAAATATTGCAATATTGACATTAAATATGGATGAAAAATAGATATACATACAAACATTTAAAAATAATAAAATATATCAAGTTACAATGTGCAATGTGTTCGTAGGGTTGTGCAGGACTGACAGTGTTAAGGTCAACAAGATAGTGTTTGCATAGTGTGCATTACTATGGACTCAATTATGTATATATGTTCATTTAACAGTTACTTACCTGTTTATCATTTTAATTGTATCTCTAATTGTATTAATCTTGTGTGAATCTGTTTTTCAATCTCACTCTGTTGCTGCTTCATTTCCCCACAGGGATTAATAAAGGTCCTTTGAGCACCAGGAAAAGCGCGATATAAATCAATTGTATTATTGTTATTATTATTATGACTGTCTTATTAAAGGTAGGGTAGGTAACAAGGCCGTAACCATGGAACCAACATTGGGGGGACACAACATTATTATTTTTTATATCAGTTAGGCTATATAATGGGTCCCCCCCAATATACTGTATATGGTAAATTCGGCTTTAGGTAATTTTGGAGAAACCAGCTCGAGTGCGCTAGTATTTGAAAGTACACAACCGAAAAAATCAGGGGCCACAGGAGAAAGGAATGTGACAAAAAGTCCAAAAAAAACCTTGGGTTTCTGAGAAGAAAGTCAGACATTTTCCATTTAAATCTCTGTTTTATATACATTATTTATTGTATTTTTATAATTTGTTTCTTTAATGTTACAAAATCCAATTTATTTGTTAAATATTTCAGTACAATGCCCACATTTTACAAATGAATAAAAACACTAACTGAATTAATTATATACAAAAAAAAAATGAAATGTCCCAGGAACAAACATAGTATTTGAGCTGTCTCTATACAGGCGTCCCTCTGAAGCTCAGTGAGATGTCCAGCAGCTTCGCCCCCATCTCCTCGTGCCGCCCCCCCGACAGGAAGTCCTCCGACAGCTCTCTGAAGGTGCTGCACACTCTGCGATCCTGAATATCTTCCCGTCGGATCGAATGTTTCCATCGGTGTCTCGCCTCTCCGAACAACACCAACAACGACCTCCGAGGAAGAAGCACGGAGACCTGGACTTCCTCTACTAGGATTAAAAGAATAATGTCACATTCACAGTATGGAACACGTGACTTTCAGCCTGAGACTAGAAAGAGACAAAGGTGAAGCCCTCTGGGACACACACCTAACACAATGAGGTCTTACACTTGATGTGTTTCTGTTTAAAGGATCCCTATCATACTGTTTCTCATCAATATCCAGAACCTCTCTCTGATTGGCTGAAACACCGAACAGATCATTGCAGCATTACCCATAATCCCCTCTGTTTCAGCCCTGTTTCAAAAGTGCTGATTCTGTGTCTGTTACTTTAGAGGAAAATAAGGAGCCCCTCCCCACGCCCCTCTGAGAGAGATTTGGTTACAAAGAACACAAGAGCCGCTTTCACACCGGAGTACTTTTCCCCGTACTTTTCCCGTTTAGTTCCGTCAGTACCCCTGATGTTGCGTTCACACCACAAAGAGTACTTACTGCCTGGAACTTTTACCCCCATTTTTAGTGCCTGCTAGAGAGGTGGTACTCTCCTGGGGGGAAAAGTGCCCCAGTTCTGATTGGCTGGGCGAATTGCAAACCACGCCCCGTAAAACTCTGAAAAGTTTTGTGAAGCCGCCATTGTATTTGTGGCATTAGCATTATTAGCATTAGCCCAGCGCACCAACGGAGAGAGACTAATTTATGGCAACACAAAAGAAAACATGGGAGCGGTGGAGATGAGGAGGTGTCGGCGTTCTGGCGATTTACTCGGAAGGCTTCAGTAGAAGCTGCTGGGAGTCCCAGAAGCTTCTACTGAAGCCATTCCCCAACTCCGGGAACTTCCGGCCGGGGACTTCGGGTGGCAGCCGTGAAGTTGTTTGCGGCCTGCCAGTAAACCCAAAGCAGAAGAAGACGAAGTGACGTCAGCGGCTCATTTGCCTAATCCTCCTTCAGGGAAAAGTACTCCGGTGTGAACGCGATTGGTACTTAGTGCCCTGGGGTACTAAGTGAACGCGGTTTAGGAGGAGATTCAGGTGATAAGGTGGGGTGGGGGGTGGATTACCTTGGTTGCTGATTGGCTAATGGTTACACAAGCCAAAACATCGTGATGACATCATAAAGTGGCCAAAATCTCATCAGCTCATTTCAGACAGGTTTTTATAGAAATGGATCAAAAAGAGAGAGAATCTTTGTTCCTGAAACTTTCAGAGTCTCTTTCCACAGAGGGGACACATATAAAGTGAATTTTGCATAATAGGTGACCTGTAAAATAAGAAATTAATTAAAATGAACATATAACCATATTTGAATTATATGAATATTTGACATGACATAAAGCATTTTGAATTGCCTTGTGTTGAAAGGTGCTATATAATAAATAAACTTGCCTTGAAGCCCCGCCTCCTCTTTAAGCCCCTCCTCCAGGGACATAGTGAGCGTTGTGTCTGACAACATGTTGACGGTGACGAGGCGCTCGCCCCACAGCCAGCTGTCGTCCAGGTGGGGGTCGATGGAGGACCCTCGCTGGGGAAGGTATTCCAGGTTGCACTGCTCCACCGGTCTGAAGTCCTCTAACGACGCGTCACTCTGCATCCGGAGCACCAGAGAGCGGCTCACAGCAGGGAGTCCAGAGAAACTGCTGAGGCGCACCTTCTGCTTCTTGAAGTTCACTTTGGGACCAAAATCCTGCAACGATAAGAAACAAATACTTTAGTTTCATTCATCAGATATTCATAATAATAACAACAACAACCAGGGGGGATTGTGGGATGCTGCAATGGTCCGTTTGGTGTTTCAGACAAACGCTTCAGAGACATGTTTGTAACTGAGACCTGTGATATCCTGTTGATAAAGACGATAATAGGGGACCTTTAAAACCAAACTACACATGTTCATATTCTGTGTTGATGACGTTCAGAAGCCTCTCACCTGTTTCCTGCGTCCTGACTGCGAGTCGTTCCAAACGTCTCGATCCATCGTCCTGATCAGTTCCTCCTCTTCCTCCTCGGAGATAAAGTCCTCCTGGAGGAAGACTCCCGGGAAAGAGAAGCACGAAGAGTCGGCATCTCTGGGAACAGCAAGCCTCGTCTCAGGATCGTACAGGAACTGATGCACAGCCTTCAGAGACAGAAACAAAAGAGTTCAATTTACATAAATAATAAAGACTAAGAGTAATAATCTCTATCACACACACCTTTATAAAACATGATTTAAGTACAGGTCAACAAAAGAATACATAGTAGAGTTAAAATATAAGACTACAATACAGTTAAAATTGAAAAACTCAGATTACAGTGTAATGAATGTTGCCATGACTGGTTGCTTAATATCAAGTACCCTGTACTCGTGTAGAAATAGTAGTACCACCGTGGAAAAAGACTCAAGTAAAAGACCCGCTTTAAAAGTCTTATTAAAGTAAAAATCGCAGCATCTAAAAGTACCAAAAATACATACTAATTATGATTAACTAATAACGTATCTTGTGGTTTTATTGATCAATCCACCTGGTATTATAGAAAGCTTTACCAGCTGCAACATTAGTGATGCTTTAATACATCACTCATTATGCTATAGAATATAATGAGCATTATTTAGAAATGGGCAATTATGCATCACAAGTACTTTTGGTATGTTCTGGTCAAAAGTCGTTTGTTAATTCACGGAAAATATGTAAATAATTTTACAGGAGTCATATTTTGGTATATTTTTACACTGTGTGTTATCATTTAAGTAAGATATTTGAATCCTTATAGAACCACTGATGGTTAAAAGGAAGGAAAAGTGATTTATTTGAACGAGAAAGTGTGTTTTGATCAAATGTGGACTGTCCGTTGAGGGCTTCCGTAGTTATTGTTAAAGCGAAGTTAGCTGAGGCTACAACAGTTTCCTGCTGATAAAAACACACTTTTTAACACACTTTTTACACAGATATGCTTACTTTAGCTTCATTTGCCTCCAGCTGTTCTTTTCCCCTCACATGTTCACACTTTAAACACCGCCGGATGCCTTTACAGGCGCATATAGCAGAGCCGTCATCCTGCATTTTCTTCTTCTACGGCTGTGCATCTTCTTCTTCTACTGTTAGTATGTAGGTAGAGAACCTGCCTAGAAAGCTCAACATCGCCATCTACCGAACCGTTTGGGCTATGAATTCAACACACTGAATCATATTTACATTTTATTGGATTAATTCACTTTTTGTTGTTTATTGGGTTAAACAATTTTAAGGTAGGTGTAATGAGTATTTCCATAATTTTTTAGCA